TGGGTTCACGTGAGACCAAGGGTTTTTTGTGAGACCCGTAAGACCAATTTATGTTCATTGATCAACTTTATAATCTAATGATTTAATGGTTTAAAGTTGCAAGATGACAATTTTATAATTATTGAGAAGTCTCGTGGCGTTTATGAATGTTTAGATCTAACGATTGTATATCTAATCCAAGGGTTGAGAATTGGTCTTACGGATCTTTCGAAAAATCATTGATCTCACATGATCCCAAGTCTCTCTCTCTCTCTCTATATATATATATATATATATATATATAAGTTTAATGGTTTATTTCTAGTTGATATGAGATTTCAATATCCTGCAAATGGGTCCACTAGATGCTGGTCATATGGATCATCATGGTTGGGTGATTCTATGAACCTGATTCAAATATTAATTTATGTCGCTTTAATTGTTAGGGTAACAGTAAGATATGCGAATATCTTACCTTCCATGACTCCACTTCAGGTGGGATATACTGCGATGTTTTTGTTTATTTAGATACTAATTATTTCTACTACGTTGTTGCAGAATACTAAAACGGGTGATGGCAATGTCCGTCATCTGGTATATCTAATTGAGAATGCGATTCTAAACCTCCCAGAAGGCCAAGAACAGATGTCATGGTTGATTGATTTCAGCGGGTATTCAATGAATGCCTCAAATATCCAGCTGAAAACAACTCGAGATATCTTGAACGTGTTACAGAACCATTATCCTGAAAGACTTGCCATTGTCGTCCTCTATAATCCTCCAAAAATATTTCAAGCATTCTATAAGGTAAATCACCTTTTGTTAATCAACATATATATGATTAGCAATCAAACTTATATAATTAAGCACAATATCTTTTATATATAGACCTAAGAAAATTGGAAAACGAAGACCTTAATAACCATTCAATAATTACTTTTATGGATCTTTGTATATCGGACAAATGAATGGTTGTTAGGGTGTTTCTCAATTTTCTATTTTTGTAGTGGTTTCTCCCGAACCCAACTAGGAGTCTTGAGTCTTCATTTGAGAACTCATAAAATTGTGATAACCTTGAGAACCGATGCATTATATGGTATTTCACATGATTTTTTTCATCTATGGCTTCGGTTTAGTGTATTGATTAACATATATTTGTTACACAATCTGAACATTTTTTTGTGTCTGTAAAACAAAAAATAAAACTAAAAGGTTTCACATTCTGAATTCAATACATATAAAACAGACACATTTAGAAAGAAATATATGTTAATCAGTATATTAAATTCTAGCCTTTTAAATGAGAAAAATCATGTGAAACACTATCTTATGATAATAGTTCTCATACTTATGACAATATATGGGGTTATCATCTGATTTTGCCCCCCCCCCCTCTCTCTCTCTCTCTATATATATATATATATATATATATTATATAAGGTTTCAAATACAAACCATGTAATTTTTAGAGACCAATATATATTAATTGTCGAATATGTGGCCCATAAACATTTTTGTTTTAAAATCTAAAGTCATGATCATAATGAATGATTAATGGTTGTTTGACATCTCCTCCATATATCTATACGCAGGTTGTGAGTTACTTCATAGACCCAAAAACACATCAGAAGATCAAATTTGTTTACCCAAACGACAAGGCTAGTACCGAGATTATGAAATCGTATTTCGATACCGAAAACCTTCCGAGTGAGTTTGGGGGAAACCCTGGGTTGACTTTGAAGTATGACCATGAAGAGTTCTCTAAGTTAATGGCTGAGGATGATATAAAAAGTGGCAAGTTTTGGGATTCTGAGACTCTCCATGATACCAATGGTCATTGTGTCGAACCATATGTAGGACCAGAAACGGCACCCAACCCTCTAGCCACAGCTAGCTAGCTAACATTTCCTTCAACCTGAGAAAAACAAATGTTTCATATATGTACAAGAAGATGCTGTTTTATATATATATATATATATATATATATATATATATATATATATATACACAGAGTCTCAGGTTCATAAGAGAACAGTAACAAAATAAGAGAGTAAGAAACCGATTGTGATTCACTTGACTTTGGCCGCGTTGATTGTTAATGTAAAATCACATGTAATTTTACGAATAATGTAATCGTTTTCATGACCTCTTATTTGGTTACTGCTCTCGTTAAAACCTCCATCCCACATGGTTACATCTGTATCCAAATTTTTTCATATCTATACTATATTATAAAGTATTTGATAAAAACTCTTAAAAACAATTTTTTATGCATGAAGTACTGTATATTGATGCATATTACTTACAATTCAAGATTACAAGTAAATTATGCATAAGTACAATTTATTAAAGCTTCAGTTTGAATTCATGTAACTAACTGAGAATAAATACAATCAAACAGATGATAAGCATCTTATTTTAAAATATAAAAAATCTAAAATATAATTAAGATAATTACTGAGTTTCATCAAAATAATTAATTATTATCTTTATAAAAAAAATTATATTATTAAACCAAATATAAATTAATTTGTTATTAAACTTAAATTAAATTATAATAAAAAATTGAATTAAAAAATTACATAAAAAATAAGAATTTTAAATAGTTAATTTGATACTAATACCGATATATTTTTGTCAAAATTTTATGATATATTCAAATTTAATTTTATTAAAAAATAAAAACATCATAATTTTTTCAAAATCACATAAGATCATACTATAACATAGACTGAGATAAATAATAAACCCTTTTAATATAATATAAAAGTATATAATTATGTTATATGTAAACATTAATGTGTGGTTTGAACACCTTTTCTTACACATCCCCAATATTTTTGTGTTTTAACATTTGTAAGTTAATTAAAACTTGGTGAGCATTTGGACATTCACGTACACGATTTATTTTCCTAATGGTTTTGAAATAAATTTCATTTTAATACACCAATTCAGATATTTAATTAAATAAATTTTATTTTGAATGACTCCAATTCAGATATTGAATCCGCTGGGTTTATTTTCCAAATGGGTTTTGAATTGAGATGGTTAATTAGGGAACGACTAGTTACATTCCTTTCCTAATGCATGTGTTGCATACCATAATACTATAAATTTGGTCTAAATGAGGAGCTTAGGATAAGCGTTTATCAAGTCACGTTACCTCATTGAATGAATATGGAAAGGACCAAGAATTTTACTTGGTAAGAGAGAGACAAGGATCAAGAGTCTTACCACGGTAAGCGCTTACCAGGTAAATTGTTGCATACGTTGTCATTTTGGTGGATTAAAATCTTACCCGGTAAGTAAATAATAGTGTTAAATTTTACCCGTAAACACTTATTCGGCAAGTGTTTGGTAAACAGCCCCTTGATGTCATTTTATATGAGCAAATGTATAAGACTCTATTTTTAAGATTTTTTTTTTTTGACTTTTTTATAAAAATTTCTAATTTGTGAATAAAATATAATTAGGATAAAGTATACTATAAAGATAATAAAACATTTGTTACTTTTCCACATCAAAGTAAAATATATTACATAGTTCTTTTTTATTTCATTTAATGTCTATTCATGTTTTAAAAGTATCTTTTCGAGATGTTGGAGAGGGAGATGCATCTTAGGTTGACATATAGTGCGACTTGTCAGATATATTGGGTCATACGAGATTTCTCCATTCTCTCCCCAATCAAGACATCTCTGTTTCGTCCACGAAAGATTAATTGAATCATCAAAAATTTGGAGCGTGAAGTGCAATTATATTTATTTTTGGGAGGATTTGAATTACTATTATCAATTAGAAGAATTTATGGTTGGCTTAGTTGGACTACTACATTGAAGTATCCAGGCTCCGTTTGAAAAAAAAAAAAAAGTGATAATCCATCTATTTTCTATCATAAAGGATTCTTGTGGCTTATTGGATATAACACTTTTGGTCCCTGTAGTTTTGTAATTACGAGATGACTTCTTGTTTTCAAAAACGTCCATATTGGTCTATCTCTCTAACAACCGTTAAAAATTCCGTTACATGTCGGACATTTTCGTTCTTTTATTGATTTTTTTGTCTTTTTACTCAATCAAAAAATACAGAGACCAAAATCATAAAAATCGATTTTGATCGGGTAAAGAATAATAGAGTCGATAAAAATGACGAAAATATCTAACATTTAACGAAATTATATGAACAAAAAATGTTATTTTGCTGAAAATAAAGCTTTTTTTTTTAAATTGAGAACAAGGACGTGAATTAATTTGAGTGAAAATTATGTTGGGAAAAGTTGTCAAACTTAAATTCAAGAAATGGAGGAATGGAATGAGATGAAGTAATGCTATTAAACCCATCTTATATATTTAGGCAGCGAAGTTGAAATCTTTTTGGAGACTCTGTTACAACCAAAACTTTTGATTACATTGAATAAATGAGACAATAGAGAATATATGTTAAGAACAAAAATGGGCTAAACCTAAAACGATTAACAATCTGAAACTAAACCTAAAATTAAACCTAAACAATTAATGGTTTGAGTCTAAATAATTTCGGCTATAGTTTCACACACGTCGATAAAAAGACCCTAAACACATGTAAATTTGGGCCCCAAAATTTTGAGGGCCCTGTTCAAAATATCATATTTAACATGCCAAGGGACGCCTCTGTACTCAAGGGATGTGGTTTTGCAGTAATTCATCATAAATTCCAATGATAGATGTAGGGTGAAACTGAAACGCTGAAACTGAAACTTTCTGAATTCTTCATAGTTTTTATTGAATCATTGAAGAGCTTATTGAAAAAAAAGTCTGTAAAAAAACCCAATGGAATTTTGTATTTTAAACGATTAAGTTCTTAAACTTTTTTTAACAAAAAAAATACTTACATCTATAAAATGAAACAAATATACCAAAAAATACTTACATCTATAAAATGAAACAAATATACCAAAAAAATACTTGCATTTTACAAAAAAAAAATACTTATAATTAAAAAAATTATTAACGNATATCAAATCAATTTACTGAAATACCCTTGTAATTAACTTGTGAACATGACATAAACCTACTAGAAGAATGAAATTTGATTGGTTGACATGGTTTGCAAAGTTAACACAAAACTGTTGGTTAACATTTGATCTTCCTTCTATATATATATATATATATATATATATATATAGAGAGAGAGAGAGAGAGAGAGAGAGAGAGAGGGAATGGTTCAAACCAAAACTTTTGTGATTTGCAAAAATGCGAGAACAGTTGTAGGTCTCTAACCTTTTTAACTAATTCTTTACATTATAATAAATAAAAATATATCAATGAGGGTAGTAATGTAATTAGATATTTTTTCTAATCATATGTTATTTTAATTAATTATAATTATCACATGATTTTAGGTTGGAACTGATCATGTCGAACTCACGTCCCCATCCCCATCGTTTTCTTTATCTACATCGATCTTGTGATATTAATCTACACTGTGATAATTATGTGATAAGCAAGCAACAGGGTTGGGTAATATCGATCTCATCCAAATATTTCTACACAAATAAACGAATAAGTGAGTTGTGGTAAGCAACCAATTTGGCAATATTTTACATTAACATTAATCGATTTTGTTCCAACTACATTGTGATAATCGACTTTTGAGTTGTGATAGTTTGTTTGTTCAATTTCTCGACCATGCCCTTAACTGTGATAAGTCTGTGATAGACATTCTCTTATCGAATCTCTAATAGATTGAAGTCCTAATTGATTACAGGCAACTATAATATCCTAATCGAAGTATCATAATATGTGATCAAGCTGTGTTATTAGACACATACCTTTGAACTTCTTCCTCGATACCTTCGAAATAGACTGTACGATCTTCTTCCTCAACGCCTTCGAACAAGAGTTTCGCTTGCCCTAACTCGGTTTCTTTCTTGTTTTTCAGTTTCGCCTTCGAACAAGAATGTAAGATATCATTGTGTTGTTTGTGATGACCCAAGGTCGACGATGATGATTATCACTACCCACTCTACATCGTGTTATTTGAATTTTAGGATATCAATTTCCAATTTTACCCTTTCACGTCTTCAGAATATTTGAAATTGTTTGACTATTTATTTAGGTTTGAAAAATACTTTAACTTCTCTTAAAATGTTATTCTAATTCTTGGCTTAGAGGTTGTTCTCACATTTTCGTAAATCACAGGAATTCTCGTTTGAACCTCCACACACACACATATATATCTATAATATATATATATATATATATATATATATATATATATATATATATTATTGAGTTCTTATAAATAGGTTTATTTATTTTAGGATGAGTGACATTGGTGGTCCCTGTGGTTTGTTGAAATTTTGGATTTAATCCTTAAAACAAATTATCTATATTGGTGGTTCCTAACATTTTATTTTCATAACATTCATCGTCCCTCCACTTAACGACGTTAGTTAGCAACCTTTTATGAAAGACTAATCGCTCTTTGAACAAATTATAAGACCAAAAATATAATCTACTCTAAAATTTAATGTGATACACGTTTTTCTAGTTTTTATTAAAAAAATGTTTTATTATTAAAATCACAAATCAAATTTCTTAAAATAAAGTATATATTAATAAAAATCTTTATATTTATTTAAAAACTATTAAACTCATAAAAATTAACGTTAAAAAATCTCTAAGTTTAAAAAAAAAAGAAATCAAGATAAAGTCACATATCTTTTGGGTTGAGAATTGAAATATGTGAGCAAAATATTGAAAATTAAGTTCGGTTAATGGGACATTATTAATATAGGGAAAAGTCTAAAAAAACAAATAGACTTTAGTGTTTGGAATGATTAAGTTCTTGGACAATTTTTTGGAACAAATAAGTTATTGGACATTCCAAAACATGTTAAATAACTCTTTCGACTTTCTAAAACCTGTTAGATACATTTTTATGACCTATACAACTGGCTAAAGTGGCAAAATAACGAAAAAAGTCTGGAAAGAAAACTCAATGGACTTTCATATTATGAACGATTAAGTCCATAAATATTTTTTGAACAAAAATTACTTACATTTATAAAATAAAACAAATATACCAAAAAGTACTTACATTTAAAAAGGATTATTGATAAAATTTATTTTAATTAAAAATAAAATATATTTCGTATATAATTTTTCAAATTCAAAAAATAAAAACAGATTTAAAAAGGATTATTGATTAAATTAAAAAAATAGAAAATAATTTGATTAAATTACTGACAGATACAATAAAATTTAACTAAATACATAATTAATTAAAATATGTCGCTAGTGTTTATTGGTATATATGTATTAATTATTTACGTCTAGTTGATGGCTAACTTGACCATAACTATGTGCTCTAACATTATAACATGTTAATAAGTGTGAAAGATTGTGTTTGAATCTTGTCGATCATATCATTTCACTGATCTGAACCACCACTGACCACCACCACCTATCTGATTCATCACCGATCTAAACAACCGCCGATCTAAACCACATCTGACCACCGCCACCTGAAGCACCGCGGATCACCACCGATCTGAACCACCGCAGACTACCATTGATCTGAACCACTGTCGACCACTACCGACCACCGCCATCTAAACCACTGTGGACCACCACCGATCTGAACTACCGCCGACCATCGTTGATTTAGTAACATCTGGCTTATGGTTATATTTGGGTTGTGTATTTTATATTATTTTACATATTAAATAATTATTTAATAAATGTATTTTTAGTTTTAAAAAAATTAAAATTTTCAAAAAAGGCATTTTGGTCATTTATCAATATTTCATTCTAATTTCAAAGTTACATTCTGTGAATCAAACAGACAAATTTCAAATCATTAACAGATTCCATTACAATGTCTGTCAACCAAACAGATACTCAAACCTGACAACATTACATTCCTAATCATTCGAAATCAAATTCCTTTAAAAGATTTAATTCCATCCAAAAACATCATTCATGACTTTGATTTTCCTTTTTAAGTAAGAAATTAATGATCAAAATTAGTTATAACATTCTCTTTCTTTCTCTATCTTTGATTGGTGGAAGAAATGACGTGTCTTGTAATGATTGGAAGAGATTCAATTGTTTCATAGGGGTATCTAAACAGTTTTTCATATTTTTTTCTAAAATAAAAACCCTCAAAATCTCTCCATCCAAACTCCCAACAATTTTTTTATTTTAAAGATTTTAATATCATTAAAATATTTTATGTATCTAACACTAAATTTTTTATATACAATGATAATCTTATGTTATTAATCCTTCAAAAAAAAGTGAAAAACTAATCAGGTGATTGAAGGAGGGTGGTAAGAGGTAAGATTGAGGGGTATGAATTTGTGATCTCCAATAATTAATGTATTTTTCTCTCTCCAAAATTTAGTTTTTGAGATTTATGAGCAATTTACCACACGTTTATTATTTAGCAAGTGCTTAACTGGTCACTTATTTTACCGGATGAATATAATAGGGACCGAGAATCTAACCCAATAAGAACAATGACAAGGACCGATAGTCTTACCCGATAAGTGAAGGTGACAACTTTTACCCGATTAACACTCACTACATAAATTGGTACGTCACCATGTTTTTTTCCCTCCAATATCGTATACCGACTAATTATAATTGGTACCAACTTTTTCCAGTTGGTGCATGTTGGTACCGATTTTGTACCAACTTCAAGTTATATATATGAAACTTGTCATTATGTTCATATTTTGAGTGACTATTTGAGTTTTTAGCTAACATATGTAATGTTTAAGGGTTTTTAATTGCAAGGAATAAAACTTGCAAACACTCAAATTTTCAAACAAAATAGTTAATGTTCCAAAGTTTAATATTCAATGCATAAAGAAATTCAAAAACTAATAAATAATTAAATAAGTCGGTACGATGATACTACCATGGTATGCAACTTCCAATACCGTGTACCGACCAAGTTTGTGTACTTGGTAAGGTACTACCAACCAATTTGTAAATTGGTACCAATTTAATTGGTACGATTGATACATATGTTTGTTGGTTTAGTTTGATACAAAATTGTAACCCCTATCACAGGGTATCAGGTAACCAACCTTTAAACAGACCAAAGGTCGGACATGTCTGCGTGTTTGATTTGCAGTATATAAATATTATATACAAGTAAAAAAGGTAACTTCATATGAAGTAAAGAAATATAAAGATGTTTTCATGATGAATATAGATGTCAAAGAATTGAGTAAAGTCTACAAACATACCGATGATTCTCGCGGTGACTTGGTTAAGAACAGACGGTTTTCGGTATCACCCCCACAATAGAGATGCCGATTTGGAGATGAGTTTGGCACCAGCCGTTGTCGTTTCCAACCTGTAGATATATTGAAACATTCATCGTATGCATATATGATGCGAATGTGAATGTGTGATAGCCCGCTGCAATACAAGTTGTAACTTGTGCAGCGGTTTTCGAGTACTACATGAAAGTGGCAGGTCGGATAGAGAGGTTACTTTGAAATTTCTTCAACGGCTTTCATGACGATATCAGAATTAGTTTCTACAACTTGACCTCCAACAATCATTTCGTCTAAGATGGTATGCATCTGCATAAAAGAATGCTGATCAGTCCATGTGTTGTTCAAGCTCAAGAAGTAAGATTTCACTGAAAGTTTCCTTTAAGTCAATCCTAACTTAGATCTCAAGATCACATTTGTTCAACGGTCAATTGGCTTTCAGGAATCCTACTTATTACTCTCTCCGTCCCAAAATAAGTACCCACTTCACTAAAACTCGTTCTATTATTAAGTTTATAACTGTGAGTAGTTAACTAAAAAGCGTAACAATTACACATTTCTAAAAGCGTCTCTTTAACTGTGAACGTTTATTTTAAAACGGAGGAAGTAGTTATCGCTTGAATGAGTGAAATCATACTTAGGGCTGTTTAACAAAAGCTTACTAGATAAGTGTTTACCAGCAAGAGTAACATTTTTGGCCATCAACATATTGTTGGTAAACGTCTCTCACCGGTAAGCACAAAGCGAGTAGAAGTCTTTTCCCTCACTTACCGGGAAAGATTCTCGATCTTGGCTATGCCTCTTACCGGTTAAGATTCACAGTCCTTGCTATGCTCACTCGGTAAGGTAAGTGATTCCCAGTAAGCGTTTAGTAAGCCACCCCTTAGAGTTTCATAGCAAGCTTAATATTTTACTTGCTAAAATGCACACTGAGCGATTTTAAGCCGATTTTTAATGGCTATTTTGCAATGTAACTACAAGGATGAGGTTAGAATGGTGCACTTTGGAAAACTTCAGGTTTTTTTGTGCATTTTAGCAGGTACAATGATTAGTTTGCAATGAAACAAACAGCAATATACAAGATGAAAGGCTTCAATCCATCATACCCCTACCCAGAAACAAACACTTCCCTCTTCCTTATGGGTCCATCCCCCCCCCCCCAAAAAAAAAGAGAAAAAACCTTTATACAAGTGAATAGATAAAAGAAGGATGATTAACAAGTGAAAGGTACCTTGCCGTAATTGAGTACTATATCAAGTTCACATACATTGCTGAAGCACTTCTCCAGTATTTCCACATACACTGCAAGAATTAAACTCAAATGATGAAAACTCTCATGTAGGTTATAGAATTTTAGAACGAAAAAAACATCAAACCTATTTCTCAACTTTATAGCACAGTATGGAAGATGAAACCTGAATCGCTGTTAACAGAAATTTTCATTGATTGAAGCTCAGAGATAGATGGCAGTAGGAATCTCTAAGATAAAGGTGATGTAACCTAATTCTACAAAGCAATCGGACTATTCACGTGTCAATCATCATATCAGAATAATATTCATTACTCGTGTATAGTCTAGATAAAAAAGGTTTAATGGCGGGGACCTCATGGCCCCGTGGTCCACATTTTGTGAACCCTACTTGCCATACCTCATAAGCAAGCACCGGAAAAGACAACCTATCCTCCCCTGGAATCGAACCCGGGTGGGCACGCCCAAGGCAAGGCATTTACGGAAGGAGGTGGCCACTAGGCCAAGGCCTAATGGTTACGAGCTGTGGAATCTTCATATCAAATTACAAAAAGGGTTATGATAGATGCACCCCTCCCCACTTGTTAAATGTATCATAGTCTACTAATTTCCTCCTCACATCCATCAACATCAAACCCCTCCTTTTACATTTTCAATACATGATTTGACTTGATTTTGACCAAAAGATGGTGCATATAATAACCCCCCAAAATATTTCATATGACCTTTTTCACAATATGGGCATAATGTTCCAAAAACTTGATATTTGGAATATATCTGAGGAGTTGCCTCTAATCAAGCCTTGGAAAAACCATGGAAGATGCGATTCATGTTCCAAAAACATGCTTGTTTCAACCCCCCCTCCCCCCTTTAAAATTTTGACGATTTCATTCTTATCCCAACCCAACTAGTATGGGATAAAAGAGTTGTCGTTTTCACCTAGTGAGTACAGGGAAATATGTATAAGATCATTTGTATGATAGTGTAGTCGAGAATTCGCATCAAAAGGGGAGGTGACCATAAGATCACCGGTTGAATTTAGAGGAGGAAGTCTCTAAAAAGGACAAAGTAAACAAGAAAACCAGCAATGGTCGGTGTGGATCAACTCATTGACCTTTCACACTTTCTACATAAAAATTGTATTCTACTTTTCATAGACAAGCATGAGAAAATAATTAAATTTGGTATGTACCTTGTATAAGATCAAACATAGCCAGCTCATTTTCGGAGCTATCAAATACGAAGACAAAGTACAAGGTTGCAAAGAGCTTGTACACGAGCCGTGAATCCTGGAAGAAAATGAAGAGCCGCAAAAAAATATTTACCCGTGCTTTAAAAGATACATCTAAAAACAAGTTACTTATAGACTTCATATGTTATTAAGTTGGTAAGGTTTTAACAGATAGCAGCTGTGGACCAGCTTTATAAATGATCCTGATTAAGGTGATGAACCAAGTTGAGAAACACTAACCAAGTTTATAATTACCAAATAGAACCTTAGAACAGAACAATAATAGTCGCGCGATACATAGTTTGGGGAGGGTGTTAGGCCTGTTGCTCGACCCGGTGAAACCTCACGCTAAAGCATGGTCCCCACATAACTGTGGTGGCCACAAGTGTAGGGTGCAGGAATCAAACCGAGGAAAGACGGGATGCCATCCTCATCCCCCTGGGCCTCAACCAACCCGGCAACACACTACATAGTTTTCTTGGCTTGAAGTGTTATCTTTGCATCGGCATCCTAAATGATAAATTAGCTTATAAATGTAAATTCCTATACAAGAACACAGAACCATATTTTACACTTTTCAATCGACTGAAAGCAAAAAATATATCTTCCAATGAAAAGGCCAAGCTTCCTTGCACTTACTTTTTTCAAAAGAAAAAAATAGAGTAAAGGCAGAAGTCGAACGGAAGGAGTAAGAAAGTTGACACGTATACAAATAGATGCATGTTACATAAATTATAAGGTGAGAATACACGATTGACGATTCAATTGTAACAAGCATGAAATTAGGGTCAGACCAAGGGTCAACGATGAGTTATGCCTTTTTGCTCTATGGATGAGCACCTGGCAATGTCTTAATACAAGGTTGGGAGCATGAATAAAACAGTATTACATGAAGTGCAACATAAGTGGTGTTGATAGGAGAATGGAAGATATGGTAATTATGTCAAGACGGAAAGTTGTTAGGAGCTATTTTCATAAAAATAGATCAATAATAGAAAAGGAGCCTACAGCGTGTAACTCGGTTGGCAAAGGGATGGGGCGACATTGCCTAAATACAAGACAGGTAGCGGGTTCAATCCCCCCTCTGCTAGCCTCAGACATTGTGTGAGCCAAAAAATGCTCCTTCACATTGGTGGCCTTGGAGGCAGGTTCCGTGTGGGGCCGTTTGGGGTTGCCGATAATCAACTCTTTTCCCCAAATAATAGAAAAGGATTTGAGAGATAAATGAGAATGTTAATAATATGATCATAGCAGGTTTGACATTGAGCAAAAGCATAGGAAGTCCTGCTTAACCGGATAGATTAACTCAGGTGGAAAGCTAAGTTTTGTAGGACATGTTAACACCAACTATGCTTTACGTGGCAGAATGGTGTCTCACAAGAAGATGCAGAAATGCGGATATTGAGGTTGATCAATGGACAAGATGATAAAAGCGATTAGAAATAAATATATACAGGAGGTTGGGGTGACATCAGTCAAGGTGAAGCTGTAATAACCCTTGAATGACAAGGATACAGGTACAGGGGATACAAGTGCATGATCATGGAAATGGGATTTAGAGATTCCATAAAAGTTGAGGGTATGACGGTGCACTTATAAATGTATATACGTGCATGTATACATGTACAAATCCAAAACTAAACTTATGTAAAAAGAAACAAGTTATTTCATTAGTCATATGTTAAACATGTAACTCCAGGAAATAAAAAAAACAGTCAACAAACATATTTGATTGAAGTAAAAGAATTACCGGACCCAATAACAAGCCCCCTTCAATGAAATTGCTTACATTTTCAGGCTGCAAGCATAAAACTGGAAGAATCAAACAAAGAAGAAAAGAAAATTAAATTTAGAAAAGAAGAAAAAGTGCACTACTTCAAATTGTAATCAAAACAGAATCTGAAAATGTCCAAAAAATCAACAAAGAGAAAGTTTTGATTGTGGATGTGCTTCATGATGAAATAGTTCTGGATCTTGGATAAGCATCATGATAAACAGCAAACTTAGAAATGGCCATGGCATGGGAACTTCATGGGTCCAAGTCTGTGTACCGAACAAAATAGATAAACTGAACAGTAAATATCACGCAGGTGTTTGAGAGAATTAAAAGGTTTAGACTCCTTGAGTAACTAGACATTTTTATTTTGAATCTGCATATTTAAAAGATTATAGGTTCCAAAGGTCAAATACTAGATGATAATTCTTGTCTCCTCTTTGGTGTTGATCAAAGTAAATTCCAGTTGTAACCCTAGAATGCTACGTTGGTAAACAAGAAGATCCTTTTGTAGAGATTGAGGGTTCTTGATCATATGAAGACAGGATAAAATCAATTGGATCACGTATTGTTCGCTTTCCAAATACACTAATTTAACCCTATAATCTAGTGTATCACAAATTGAGTATTGGGATAATCCAATGATTACATTACTCCGATTTTAAAGGCTGTAAAATCGAGTAAATATATACACACCCAGATTCCACCTTGTATATATCTATTTGAGAGATCGATGGTTACGGGAAGTTAGGCAGTTAATATGTAACTGAACAGAAGCTACAACCGCTTATGGATAAGGTTGAAACAGATCAGAGGCCGACACAGAAGCTCTAAGTCTCACTCGGAAGCTTCTGATTATGCAGACTCAGTGGCTTCCCCTAGAACCCTGCAAGGGGGGCGCAGCCCCCTTACCCCCACCTTATGGCGAACTAAGGTGATTGATGCAACATTTGTGAGTTGGCAATCTAAGGTGAGAGATGCAACATTTGTGAGTCGGCGATCTAAGGTGAGAGATGCAACATTTGTGAGTCGGCGATCTAAGGTGATAGATTCAAAATGCAACATTTGTGAGTGCACACTCCGCACATCCTAACTCATGTTATCTATGCCTTCATACCCGGACGATCTCGTGTAATCACAATTACACCAAAATTACTTGATGACACTAAAATCATCAACACCTTCTAGCATCACCAAACGTGCCTGCTGATTCAACAGCAAATTATAAAATAATTGGATAGATATGGAGAGAACCTGAGTAGATGCTGCGTATTAGTTGCTGCTGTTGCTCCACAGGCTAACCTTGCAATAAATTCCCACAATACAAAGACAATTTCAAATTGAATCATATAAACTAACGTCTCTTCCACAGTTTAAGAAAAACAGCTACAGTAACAGATGTGACTTTTTAACTTCAAATCCAGTATGAAATTAAGTTTCACCAGTAAAATCTTTCTAACTGCATTACATTAAAATCCGGTGATGCTAAATTTGCAGCAAAATTCATATCGATTACTGCTAGGTTTATTAATAGAAGCCAAACTTCAATCAGAAACAAAGGTGAGAGGAAAATTGTACCGTATAATTGTAGAATTTGGCTAGGCGAGACTTGCCTTGGTTGTTGATCACCAGCATAGCCCTTATCATTATTCACACTTGCAGATTCAACTCGGTTAACACGACGCAATCGTACTTCACTTCTCAAAATCAACGTCTCAGTTGAACTAACGATAACAAGGAGGAAGACGAAGATCTGATAACCCCTGTGAAAAGTGAAAACGTCCAAAATCCATCGTAAAATAGCCATCGACGATCCTGACTCCGGCATGATCGTAGACCAAGGGCCAGATATTGGGCTGTCACCATTCATGGCCCAATTGAATTTGTTAAAGACGACTTCAGCAAAATGCATCAAGACCCTAGCCAGCAGGGGGCTCAAAAACCGACCAAATATCAACCCAACTTGAAATAATTTAATCTGAAACAACCCGATATGATATATAATAAAGTTATAAAATCTTTAAATCGTAGGTATAACATTGATATTGGGTTCAAAGCGTAAATATTGGGGTGATATTGGGTTAGTTTTATTTGAACCCAACTCAATGAACCTCATATCCTATTATTTCTTGAATTTAATATGATTGTTGAGTCTCTGTTAATATATACGTAAGACAATAACACCATTATTTACCCTCTTCATATATACATATTTTCAATCTATTATTCACCTCTATATAACTCATTTTTATACATGTTCAGTAACTGTAAACATATATATATATATATATATATATATATATATAGAAGACGTTTCAAATGCAACATATCATATTTGTACAACCAATGTAACTCAATCAATTGAGATCTTTATTAAAATGATAAGAGTTCATTTATTATGATTTAAATATTTATGGAAGATGACTATAGTTCATTAATTATGATCAATACTTTATATTATAAAACAATCAAAACTTTTATGAAATCATATATTCATCAAATTAAATGGACGGTTAACATTGAGTTGTATTGGTTGTACAAATGTAAAAGGTTGCATAATAAAACTTGGGATCATGTGAGACCAAGGGTTTTCGTGAGACCGGTGAGACCAATTATCAACCCTTGGATTAGATCTACATCTGAACATTCAAAATCACAAAATTGCTACGAGACTTCTCAATAATCACAAAATTGTCACCGTGAAATTTCAGACCATTAGATTATTATCTTATAAAGTTGATCGATGAACATAAATTGGTCTTACGGGTCTCACGAAAAACCCTTGGTCTCACTTGAACCCAACCATGCATAATAATCACCTATAGGGTTGGGTTCACTTGAGACCAAGGGTTTTTAAAATTCTAAGATATCTGAAGTTGTCTCCAAGAAAAGGTGTAAATTTTACAAGGTCTGAAAATTTCTCCCTCACTGCCTTTGTCAATACTGATTGGGGTAAGTGTCTCTCATCTAGACGCTCTATCACTGGATTCTGTATATTTCTTGGAAATTCTATGATTTCTTGGGAATGCAAGAAACAAAACAATGTTTCTCACTCTTCCGTTGAATCAGAATAAAGAGCCATGGCCACTGGCCCACTGCTACATGTGAAGTCATATGGGTCCTTAAAATTCTATCAGATTTAAATGTTAAAAGTTTACTTCCTGTAAATTTGTATTGTGATAATAAATCTGTCATACAAATTGCATATAATCCCGTTTTTCATGAGCGTACGAAGCTATTAAAATTGATGTACATCAAATTTGTGAAAACATCAGTAAGGATTTATTAGAAGTTGTACAAAATAATATCATCTGAACAACCTACTGATATTTTCACAAAGGCCCTCAGTGTAAATCACTATAATTATCTTTGTTCAAAGTTGAGAATTGTTGATTTATTCAAAAGTCAATATTGAGGGTGGGTGTTGAAATATGGTTTGTTATTTAATCTTAACTTTTGAGTTTATATGTGCAAGGTTATAAAAGTTGAGAACTGTTTGTGCGCATTGTTGATTCTTGAGGGATTCAGGGGCTGCGCCTCACTGTTGGTGGTAATACAAGGGTAGCGGAGCAATTCTTTGATTCTTGAGGGTGCTTTATGTAAATTAGCACTTGAATATAAGTACTTCCATTTTTTGTTGATTAACCTGAATATTCAACCCACTATGCGAGCCGACTAATCCCATGACGACCACATGCTTTGCAGATAACCCGGAGTCACCACATCTGAATCTCTGTGGCCACAAGGGAAATTTTATTCCTATTTGGATTTGAACCTGGGACCTCCAAATACTTTTGACATTTGGAGCCAAACTCAAACCAATCAGGCACCACCCTTATGGTTTACTTCCTTTTCTTTTGTTTAGCTCACTTTCGGTCTTCATTTTTGTTAGACTTTCTCTCAGTTTTCTTTACAAATTCTCTTTTCTTCATCTTAGCTTCGTTAGCTAAAATCAAAATTAGGTTAAACATTGTAAAGTTGTTTCTCTATTATGAATAAATCTTTTGGTTTGTAAATTTCTTAAGGGGATGAATTCTTTACCGGAGAAGATGAGAGTTATCGAAAAGTGTGCAGTGCTTGCTCTCTTTATAAAATATAGGGAAAATTGCACCAAAATGGAACCAACTTTCATCTAATTCCTATTTTGTGGAACCAACTTTCAAAATCGTCATTTTGGGGAACCAACTTGCACCTGATTTCTATTTTGGGGAACCAACTTTCAAAATCGTCATTTTGGGGAACCGGATTTCTATTTTGGGGAACCAACTTTCAAAATCGTCATTTTGGGGAACTAATTTGCACTTGATTCCTATTTTGGGGAACCAACTTGCAAAATAATTATAGAAAAATAACTAAAATTCGTTTTATTCCAAAAATTAATGCAATAAAATCTAATTTTCATTTCAAATCTCGTTTTTTTTAAATTAGATATCAAATTGAACATTTAAAAAAAATCCAAATTAACACAATAAATATTGTTATTTATTAATGCAAAAAAATCAATTTAATAGAAAAAAATTAATTGATACAATTGATTAGGTATGAAAATCTTGAATGTGATATTGAATATTTATTTTTTATTGAATCAATTAATTTTTTTCTATTAAATTGATTATTAAATTAATTTTTTTTATATTAGTAAAAAATAATTTTTATTGTAGTAATTTGGATTTTTTTTTAAATGTTCAATTTGATATCTGAATTAAAAAAACGAGATTTGAAATGAAAAATAGATTTTATTGCATTAATTTTTGGAAAAAAAACGAATTTTAGTTATTTTTCTATAATTATTTTGTAAATTGGTTTCCCAAAATATGAATCAGGTGCAAGTTGGTTCCCCAAAATGACGATTTTGAAAGTTGGTTCTCCAAAATAAGAATCAGGTGCAAGTTGGTTCCCCAAAATGACGATTTTGAAAGTTGGTTTCCCAAAATAGGAATCAGGTGCAAGTTGGTTCCCCAAAATGACGATTTTGAAAGTTGGTTCCCCAAAATAGGAATTAGGTGCAAGTTGGTTCCCCAAAATGACGATTTTGAAAGTTTGTTCCACAAAATAGAAATTAGGTGAAAGTTGGTTCCATTTTGATACAATTTTCCTTAAAATATAATATATGATATGTTTTTTAATTGATTAAGATGAGTTTCTTTTAATGAAGAATTAAGAAATTGAATGAAATAACCCTCAGTTTTTTTTTTAAATATTTTTGTAGTTTCCCTTTTTATAAGAATTGAAAAATGTATAACCAGATAATTTTGAAAATATAATGTTTTAATCAGAAATTATACATAGACTATATGTAACATGTGGATAATGACATGGCATAACAATCTGCTAACTTGTGTCATGTCATCGAAATTCAAATTAAAAGGTTATCCATTATTATAATAGGTAAAAAAATTTAAAGTGTAATACTTTAATAAAAAATAATTTGATAGTACATTGTTATAATAAATAAATTATGAAAGTAAATTATTATTTTATGATTTTTCTCCTATTAATATTTATTACTTAATTTATAATATATATATATATATATAGAGAGAGAGAGAGAGAGAGAGCGCGCGCGCTTGGTTTAAATACTAACCAAAATTTTTTTATTAACTTTATTAACCAAACTCAACCAATCATATTTCATCTTTTCTTTAGGTTCATATATAACTCATATATTAATAACAAAGGTAATTAAGTAATTTGTCATTTATGTAACTCCCAAATCATTAATTGGGAGTTACAAATCTAAAAATCTCAATAATTGATGATTATGTAATATTGATATTTTTTTATACGTGTTCATGTTTTGTAATTTCGATTTATTCTATCCATAATGATATTGATTTTGTAATTGTTAAAGAATTTCCGATTGTAAAGATTTCGATATCATCCGAATAATATGGATAAACTTATTGGAAAACAGATCGACAACAATGAGAATGAAAAAGTTAAAATCGACTACGACTACAATCGGAATTCAAATTCATATGTAATTGTTAAAAAATTGTTCACAAGTGTTCATATGTACACTAGCTGCATATCTCAACATTGGTTTGCTCCTGAATGTGTTCATAATGAAGGAACTATTGTTCACAAACTGTTCATATTATGTTCATACCTGTTTTTTTTATTTATTTACTTTCATGTAACAATTATTTTTATTACATTCATATTGTGTTCATAAATGTTATACAGTCCAAGTTCATATATATGTCAATTTTTGTTCGTATTTGACACAATGGTTCATATATATATATATATGTATGTATGTATGCGTATGTGTGTGTGTTCATATGGTTCTTACATTAACAAAAATAAATTAATAAAAATAATGAGATTTTTTGATTTTATAACTCCTAATTAATGATATGGGAGTTACATAAAAAAGAAAATTACCTAAATACCTTTTTCCCCTTTGTTCACATATGTTCTTTGAAATAATTTAAAATTTTAATTTTTTATCATGATTAATCACAACATTTTATTATAAGAATCAATGGCCAAGATTGGTTAACAAAGTTAACACAATAACCTTGGTTAACATTTGAACCAACCCCTATATAGATAGATATATATATCTTGTATATTTATTAGGACAGAGGCACCTGTGAAAATAAGAGTTAAATTGAGAAGCGTAAAAAGTAATTTGGACCATTAATCATTTTTAATCTCAAACAACTCGTGAATTGCGCTTTACAAAGGAATATATGTAGTGGTTCTCATCAATTAGGATTGATCCAAGGGTGTAGACGAATAGATATAGTGGTTCTCACTATAACTTTCATTATCACCGGAACCTAACCCTATTTATTAATAATCTCTTTTCATTGAGCCTAATTATAGGCAAATAATGGTGTAAGAATGAGATTTAAGGTGAGAAGCGTAAGAAGAAACCTGGATCCTTGATCACTTTTAATGTCAAATCCACCCATGAATCGTGCTTGATACAAAAATTGATTCGGTGCATCTCATCTTAATATGCAATCTAAGGGTGAAGATCTCTTCTTATGCTTTACATCTTAACTCTTTTTCTCACCGAAACTCAACTTTACTCTAATTAATATAATAATTAATAAAGATTAGCCCAAGTATGGAAATCTTGTGAGTGGTGGTCTTCCTTTTTTTTAATTTTTATAAGTTAGATTATTTATTTAGATTTTAAAAATAGAAATTAACCAATTAATTAAAATATAACTTGCTAATTAACTTGAGATCAACATTAGTAAAGGGCTATTTACCAAACACTTACTCGATAAGCATTTACCTGTAAAATTCAATACTATTATTTACTTATCGGGTAAGATGTTAGTCAACAAAAACGGCTTTCTACGCAACAATTTACCCGATAAGAACTTTCTGTCGTAAGAGTCATTGCCCTTACTGATTGGGTAAGACTCTCAGTCCTTGTCTCGTTCTTACTGGGTATGATTTTTTGTCTTTATCATATTCATCTGGTAAGGTAATATAACTTGATAAACGATTACCCAAGTAAGCATTTGGTAAAAAAAAAACCATAATATCATATAATAATATTACTTTTCAAAACAAAGTGAAATTAGATAATAGAAACCAAAAGAAAAATAATTGATATTTTTAATCCCCCATTAACAAATTGTACCTCCTGCAACAAAAGTAGTACCCAATGGAGGCTACATTACACTGGAAACTTTCCAGTAATAATATTAATGTGTTCATAAATACAAATTTCACATCACTCTCAATCCCACACTAACCAAATTCATTCATAGAAGGAATTACCTTTTTACAAAACAACTTCCATGCCTATACAATATCTTAAGAAATCACCCTTTTTTCGAGTTTCAGGATCGATTCGGGTTTGTATTTGGGAGTATCGAACTCGGTTTTGTTGTTAAAACGAAGGCTCATTTCGGTTCCAAGTTACTAAATGCATTCTATCTTCTACGTAGAGATGAACCTTTTCCGGTTGCTTTCATATTCTGGGAATCCCGAAAGCAGACAAAGTGCACGATTGTGTTTCCATTAGGATACACGGCAAAAACACTGGTTCCGATCTTCTTGTTGCAAAGGGAACACATGCTGTCGGCTGTGATCTTCACGTCCGTTTTTCTTTGGCCGTAGAGTTCATCTTTAGTCTGCACAGCCAGTTTTTAAATAACCAAATCAAACGAATCCAGTATATCCCCCACACAGAGGTATGATCTTCTACCGCAAGGGGTAGATAGCCAGTTTCTGTGAAGACCTCGGCTTTCAAAACAAGAAGAATGAGTCTCTTGATAGCTACATGAAGAGTACAGTTCGGAAGGTCGTGGTGTTCCGAGACATACATACCTGGAGGTTCTGGCTTTCTCGGAGTCTCTTGATCACGGAAAAGTTGCGGTGGGCTTCACTGGTTTTTCTCAGCAGAGGTCCAAGAAAAGGAACCAAGTTCTGAACAATCGAAGAGTAAATCAAAATGTTCCATCACTCGATAATCTTGTTTATCTAATTGAATTCCAAACGAAACCTTCTAAAGTCAAAATTAGAGTAAATTACACCAATCATCTTGGTGGGTTGCTCAAACTCCCAATTGACAAGGCACCTTAAATTACCAGACCCCATCATTTCAATTTGCTTACACCATTTTTTTTAATTAACCTGGATATCCAACCCGCTATGCGAGCCGACTAATCCCAGGGCAACCACCTGCTTTGCCTATAGCCCGGAGTAACCGCATTTGAACCTCCGTGGCCACAAGGGGATTTTTATTCCTCCTAGGATTTGACCTGGGGCCTCCTGGTACTTTTGACCTTTGGAACCAGGCTCAAACCAATCAGGCACCACCCTTGTGGTTAATTTGCTTACACCATTCATCCCTGCCCCTAACGGTTAAGGGGCATTTCAGTCATTTACTTAAAAACTTATAATTGTTTTAGGTGAATGGTATGTAATGCATATGTACAAGTATTTGACATCCAAAAAGATAGACCAAAAATCCCTCCCCATTCTCCTTCCCCTTGGCACCCCTTCTGCTAAACCACCGTCCCCTCCTTCTCCGGGCCCATATTATATAGCCAAACTCACAGGAAGATTCTTTCTAGAGTAAACTACGATTTTGGTCCATGTGGTTTGTTAAAAATTATGATTTTCATCCCTGTACTTTGGAAATTACAGTTTCCCCCTTGTGGTTGGCAGTTTATTCTGTTTTCGTCCCTGAGACTAACTCCCTCAGTGGTTTACAGTTAAGTATGAGGGACGAAAAATGTAATGAATTTGTAAACCACAGGGACGAAAAAACAATGAATTGTAAACCACGGGGACGACATACGCAGTTTACTCTTCTTTCTATTATGGCCATCTGTCCTAAAGATGTAAAGAACAAGTCCTCAAGATTAATGTGAATTTGAAGAATCATAGAAGAGCAAGGGTTAGTCATTACCTGTAGCTTAGTCTCTTTAGGTAAAAGCTTCAGGGCCTGTGCTCCATTGACTCGGTCCCACCTTTGGCTCAATACATCAAGGACCTCATCGAGCATGATGTTGGAAGTTCCTTCGTTGATAGGATCATCCGCATCACCATCGCTTTTTCCGCTATCTGTGCCACTCGGGCTGATTCTGGTATCTTCTGCACCTTCGATATCTGCAATTTTCTTACCTAGACCTCTTGCTTTAGCTTTAACAGATGTCCAACCAACCTTGGAATTGGATCCAGGTGGAGATGATACTAGATTAGTGATTCTCTTCTCGATGTCTTTTGTCGTTCTATGTGGATTCAAATAGATTTGCAGTAGAGTGAGGTATATGTTGCCAGGAGCTTTTGCAGGCTGTTGATGAAGTCCTACCTCATACACCCGATCGCAATACGACAGTGCCAGGTCTGGAACATGAAGCTGGAATACCAGAATATTTTCACAAAAATCAATGAAAAGATGTAGAACGTAAACTAAATCCTGAAAGAGCATTTAACCAATTCAAAGAATAAAGAAAAATAAACAACAAATCCTAGGAGGAATACAGTTAGTTGCATCAATCCCTCAACTAACCACTAAATCAATTCTTCTCTAACTACTAGTTAGCAATAACCTCCAATACCAAGTGTGATACACCCAGAAGGTCAGTGATTGCTCTTCCACAAACACAAGCGCAATAATCCATAGAACATTCAGGAAAACAAACCTTCCTACTACTATCTTTTTCTCTTATAGTGCATGTAAGTTTTGTAACGAAATACACACACACACACAGAGAGAAGGAAAGCTAGGTTAGGAACCCAAAACTGACTAGGAACCCAGGAAGCCCCCACAACGCATCGTGTGTCCCTCTTCAGGATGGATATTCATGATGAATAACACATCCATATTCCTAATAAATATGCCACGTGTCATGCTATTGGAGGTTCCCCGGTTCCTGATGAAAATTAGGTTCCTAAATGGAACCTGCCCCTATATATATATTTTAAATACATTATATATTCCTTTGCCTTCATTTTTTATGAATACGTGCTCGCCTTCTACATTAATCTTCAACAAAGTCGAGATAAATGTTTGGCAAATTCTTATTCAGATAAATGCCTCCAAACTGAGATAAATATATCATAAAGAACTACTCGCAAAATAATGATGAAAAGAAAAGACGGGATGGGCAGCTAGTGTTGAACAACTTTTTAACAGTCGTCACCAGGTGTATATATGTAAATGAAAAGCGCTCAATAGTGCATGGTACAACTATTTCATGCATAGTGACAGCTGCTGCAGAAGTCCAGGAGTCATAAACCATCCATGAGCACTTGTAATAATAAATAACCAAAAACTCTTATTTGGCACTACCAATTTTGCTGATAAAATAATTACCTTATGAACATATATGGACAATGCAAGTTCGTGTTGGTTCATTTTTCCTAGTAAGATTGCTCTCTCTTCAAATAGAGCATCTGTTGGTAACCGCTTCAATAAAACCTCTGGACTATATCCTGAAATACCCTCCAATGCAGACAAGAGCTTTTTCCTCGTTGAGGTATAAGTTTTCTCATCCCACTTCTTCTGAGCAATGAGACCAGCATACCAATCAAGCACTTCTGAAAGATATATTTGCACCTGCGACATAAACATCGTAAGTTCTCAGGTACTAAAGAAAGAGTGTACACCTGTATACATGGATTTGAGACACCAAATTAATTGAAAAAACTTTTTCCCACCAGAAGATTATGACGAAAAAAGATCTACTATTTTGGGTTCTTTTATTGGCATCTTGAAAATGCAATGGAACATGTCCTCGTGGTTGCCTCTTTTAACAAGTTACATCCTTGTGGTTGCATTTTTTTAATGAGTTAGGTCCCTGTGGTTGCAGTTTTTTAATGAGTACGGTCCCTAAATAAATCAACGACCTGGGTCCCTATAGTTACATTAAGAACCCAGCTCGTTGTAAAAGTGCAACCACAAGGACACGATGCGTTGAATTCTTGAAAGGGGGCAAGGACCGTTAAAAACAGACATGGGGACGAAACATGTAATTTACTACTCCCAAAAATTCAAGCTCTCATTTTTGTCTAATATGTACATATAAAACTTCCTTTGTCTGCTCTGTAATGTAAGAAGTACAAAATTACAGAATAACATTAGCATACGTATTTTGCTGCAACTGTTTTTATTCATGGAAGATCCTTTGTGTCCCTTTCATTTGGCTTAGCCACTGATGCCATTATGTCCCAACTTACCATTAGTTATGATCCCTTAATGATGGATGCAATTGCCATCAAACAACTTTTACTTTTATTTTTGCTCCCTTTGGTGTGTATTGAAGGCTCGGAGTTCAAGAAGTCGAACCTAAAATATCGGATTCCTGAGCGCCCACCATTCATATTACCTACCGAGAGTAGTAAAACATGGTGAAAAGCATAAAGACATACCATTTCATTTTGCAGGTTCCCAGAGATTCCGTTTTCGTTCACTGAGAGCATCAACTCTAGGTATGTAGCCTGCATGCCTGGAGCATGCTGTTTTAAGTACGAGTTAACCAAATCTGCAGAAATGTTACCAGACAGGAAGAGCTCAATGGTTTGTGTCGGACAACTTTCAAGAACAAGCATTGAGAATTCCAGAACAAGCATAGGGTCAATCTCGCAGAGAGGCTGCATAAGAGAAGTTACACGTCTGAGATATATACTCTTTTAGATCCAAATCTGTAATCATTTTCCTTACTACCACAAGCTACAAGATATATCTGAAAGCAATTATCGAGATTATTATTTAAATCAAAAGAATTCTTCTAGATCAAATCCAGGGTACTGAACAACCGAAGAAACCGGAAATAAAGAAGAAAATGTTTCACAAACAGAAAATAATTCAATCCCTGACGATTTTACACTTCACGAGTTCCACTGAAGTTAAAACAACTACAACTAAAAAAATCTAAAGGGAACAGTCCATCAAGCATATATGTGATTGATTGGAAAAGATCTCTGTTGCTCAATAGTCAGGATTCATGTACTTCCTTAATCAGCCAGATTTGGAAACCATGAAGCTAAAATCTGGATCTTATTCACAAATGATGCACACATAAGCAAATGCCAAAAGTGTTACAACTTCTAAGCATTCAACACTATACGGAGGTCAAATATGTTATAATATCTAAGGGAACTTACTTTAAGATATTCAATTATCATCTCGGGCATAAACTTTTGGGTGAGCTCAAGTTTAGGTTCATCTGATTTGGACTCCTCAACCAGCTGATGGAGAAGTTTGAGTGCTTCACGATGCAGTGAGTTGCATTTATAAAGCTCTAACAAACCTACATAATGATTTCCGTTTCGCAATATCTCTTCACATATTTTCACATCACAGTAGTTGAGACCTTTTAGTAAATCCGAAGCAGCAGCAGCCTGTCCCGTCAGAAGCAGGGCCTGCAGAAGTGCAGTGTCCAATATTGCTGCCATCTCTCTAGCACCCGAGTCAAGGGGAATGTTAACTCTGCCCTGGAGAACAAAAAAGATGTTACAATTAGAATGTTATTCGCTCTAAATCTTGTTTCGGTCAAATACTCAAGTGAAAACCACAAAATACAATAACATCTCTATACTAGGCATAAAACCAAATTCTTAAAAACCAATTATCAAATCCTATTACTCATTTTAAAACATCTTTTTGTATAATTTCAGCAAGAGCATTACATAGAAGTACGTATATTCTAAGTTATTAAAAGAAGCTGATGCTGTTTATATTTTATTTGGATAGGTTCTTTAATTTAATAAATTATTATAATATGGAAACACCCACTTCGCAAATGCAATGGAATGGCTGCGTACAGAGACTTCCTTCCTAACCCTCACAAGTTGAGGAGCCTCGATGTACTGTTTTTTCCCATCTTTTAGTTATTAGATTTCTAAATGTTGCATAATACATGCCATGATGCAAAGGATACTTTCGAAGAATACATGAAAATCAACACAAATCCCTCCATCAATAATTGTGACAATTAATCTATGGAAGGAATAAGTAGAAATAATGCTTCCAGTATAGAACATATACAAAAAAGTCGCTTGTTACCTTGCTTGATCTCTTCGAGCGGCCTGTTTCATAAGAAACAAAGGTGTGCCCAACAGCATCTGAGACAACCTCCTCTGTTCTCTCAGCAGCTGCCTTTCCGATTATACTGCTCCTCTTTTTCTGCAGGAACTTGACCAGGCCCATTAAAGTATTGTGAGACATTTTCTTGGACTCGAGAGCTGAACTCTCATCATAATCCAGTAGATGAGAAGGTGAAGAAGAGTCCATATCATCCGACAAACCAGAGGAGGCTCTTGATAAATACGCCTCCCCAGTCACATCCAGAAACTTATCTGGTTCAGCTGCCACAGATGACTTGGGAATAACAATAGATGGATACAAAGAGAGCACATATGTTATTTCTACTTGAGATGCCACAAAGTGCTCCATGGCCTCCTCATAGTTGCCGTTTTCGAACAGATAATGCGCATATCTGTACCAGGGAACAACATATGATACTTCACCTCTTGCACACAATGTTGTCATTTGAAGGTAAAACAGTCTTCTAGTTTAAAATTGACTAGTTCTAGATTTGGAACATCAAGAGTGTCATTATAGTTCTTTTTATTGTTAAGAAGGAAATCTTGCTTATAGATACTTCAAAATCTCCAAAATGGTTTGAGTTATTGAAAAGGATTTCAGAAAATTATTCAGTATATAAACCATGAATAATAATTTGACTAGGATCCACACCTATAACTTATACAACTTTGTGTGATGGCCTTGATGTTTATGCAACTATCCTAGAATCAGGAAATATAAATGATCCAGTTCTCATAAGAACCAAATTTAACGCATTTCAGGAGTTCATTTCTATTTAATATAAAATTGACACTAATTGAGAACACACCAAACAAGTTCGCTTCTACGAATGTTATTCAAAAACAAAAAACTTCACAGCATATTATTACTAGGATCTGAATGTCAAAATTACCATACCTTATACCAAGATAACATAAGTAACAATAATCTCACGATAATATAGGGGAATACTTTTTAGCTAATGTGGGTGCATGATGACATTTAAGAATGCACATATAGCAAAACAAAATATTTAAACTTGTAGATAGAGTCATAGTGCACATAACTAAAAGCATTTCAATTGTATTACCTAATATGAATTGACTGCTCCTTTGAAGCTCGAAGGCTTGAATCTTCTGGTGGAAGCAATTTGCATAAAGCCAAGGCTTCCTCAAAATTTCCAGATGCTGTCAATTGTACAATCTGCATTGCCATACGGTATTTTAGTTTTATGGAGGTAAATATTTTGTGGGATCAGATAAAGTTGCCAGATTTTAGACCCTGTAATTCCACTTATTGTCCAGTGACAAAATACAAAGATTGTTTTTCTTTCTTACAGCTATTCTGGAAAAGATAAACCTTATACAATCATAGTTCATACCTGAGAATATAATATACATAGTCCGTTGGAGAGTAGTACCTTTCATAACCAATTTGAGTTAAAAACTTAGTGCATTTTTATTATTCGTATTGAAAGTGCATCTGAGACTGTCGGAGTGTAGTACTATCATTAAAAATATGTAAGATGTTACAAATAATCATCATCCAGTTTGGAAAAAATAAATTGGCGAAGTAATGCAATGTTCATCTTCCTCTACTAAAATATTTAGTGTAGTAACTAGGATTTTTGAATAGCAATAATACATCATAAGAACAGCTCAAAAGGCAAACGAATTTTTTTCAACATGTGAATACATTCATATGTTCTTAGTTTTGCTCATTGTCAAATGGATTTATATGTAGATGACTATGATGGAATGTTAAATATCACATGTCCTACTTACTTTTTCAGATCTCTAAGTAACTGCAGACTCTACAATACAAAGCATTCAACATTACATATGATCACAGTTTCAACTATCTTGAAGAGTTTGAGACAGACCTGAGCGCCAAGAGGAACAGGAAATAATCCATAGATAGAATTGTTTAGGGCAACAATTACAGCACTGTTTCCTTGGTGAATACGGCGAACATCACGAAGAACAACCGTTTGTATCAATGGGTAAGGGACTCGTAAAGAACGTATCTGCAAACCTCAAGCAGAGGATAAATGTTTAGATCCTAAAAGCCGTAGTATTTAAATAAATAAGAAATCAACACTCATATTGGTGCTATAAAATGTCAAGGTACCTCGATATGTCTTGGTAAAAGCGCTGTAGCATAAGGCTTTTGAATGACAACTGATATCGGGGCCTCAGACCAACAAATCCTGCCCTCTTGAAGGAGCTTGCCGTTTTGGTCCACAAGCACTCCAATGTTATCCTGAAAACAGAGAATTCAAAGATGGAGTTGATAAAAATCAAGGTAAATGTCTCTGGATTTAAAGCACCAACATTTAAAATACCATCAATGGCACAGAACTCGATAACAAAAGTGCAAGTACTATGCATGACTCTTAAAATGCCCACTGGTGAAGAGAAAAAAATGCTCTCTATTTGCTTAATAGATTTTAGAATTAAAGCATAAGATAAATTTGAAGTCCTTGTAACTCCAATATATTCATTTCCTTCAATGTTTTAGGCAGCATGTATGACTGCGTGATTGTTCAATGCAAAAGACTCCACTAACCTGACTATTGGCTTCCCATATACCTATAATTCATTAATATTTTATTAGGTTACTTCGGAGTAAAAGTTTCTATCATACTTTTCACTAAACCACATTACTATCAGTATTGTTCCTTTAGCCTCATCTATTTCCTGTGGTAAAAGACTCATTGGTAATTTGGTCCTACTCATTACTTTCATGACATCAATACTCTAAGCCATGATAGAAACACGCATCAACTAACTAAAAACAAGAAGAAAAAGAGGGGAAATAGGGACTGTCACTGATCAAATTCAACTCTAAATGCAAACTTGAGAACAATTGTCTATTCAACGTGAAACAAGTTCATCTGTTTGTGACTATCAACAAATCATCTCAGAATATGAACCACCTCAATTGTTTATATATTCAACAAGATCTGTCATCTGCCTTAGCTACTCAAAGTTAAGCACAATATTTGTACTTTCCAAGATGCCTCCAACTTTCTAAGAGCATAGTTGTTTGTTTGTTGCCAATAATGTTTATCGTAGAGAACTCAAAGTATTTGGCAACGATACCTCAGATTCGATAGAAAGACGCTGACTCTAAACTTCAAAGAATCAATAAATAGAGGAAGCACAACAAAGATAATTAACAACCCTCAATGTTGCTGAGCAAAAATATAATTAATTCTATGTTAGAATGTGTCTCTCAGCTTGCTGATAGTTGACCCTCTTTGTAACACCAATATTCTACCTTTCTTTCGGTTTTCAATGTGCAAAATTTCACAGAAAATGGCATATAACAAATGGAGAGTGTGCACTACCTTCCCTAGAAGAAGTTCTCCAGATGGCAGAGACACCACTAAAGGTGGAGCAATCCTCCCCGATGGGAAGACCTCCGATAATGCACCATTCGTGGCATTCAATATTGTGTAATCTCTTCTAATCCCCAGACATATATTTTCACCACACCAAGACATTGACTTCACTGTATCTGGAACACCAAATTCTTTCACCTCCACAAATCCACGCCCTCCTACGAAAGAATTGAAGTTTGTAAGTAACTCCATATGTTTGCATATCACTTGCATTCCCATAAGATACTTTGAGGATATCAGTTTATTTACTCCTTGAAACTACAACTTGTGGTTAGCTAGGCTGTCAACATTGAAAAAAAAATTATTTATCCATGGTGCAACCACGAAAGGCAAGATCTTCTTTATGAACAAAATACATCGTTATCAGTCAATCCAATCATCACATTTCCACTTATTCTCGAATTTCTAGTGGGAAAGCATTTAGCAATTAAACTTAATTTCTCGGGAGAAAATTACCTTCGTGTCTGAAAATGCAAACCCTCTTCTGCCTAGCAAAGCACAAGAACCCTCTTCGGTCATCCCACGAATAAGCATTAGCTCCTTTCGCCTTCGTGATCACCGCTAGCGTCTCCAAATTCGGGAGCTTATGAAAAGAAATCGACTCGGAGAGAGAAAGCAAAAGTTCTCTGGACCCCAACACCTCCATAGCCAACATAGGTTTCCTGGAGAAGCCATTGACAGTTCGTTCCAACACATACGGTTCCCTCTTCAGTTCTAGGGTTTGAGAATGACGATTGGATGGCGGAGATCGGTCAGCAGATGAGGTGGAGGATTCTGGACCGTAGATTCGTAGAGATCCGTCGGCGCAAGCGACGAGTAGGTTTGAGCCGTAGGATTCGACCGCGTCGATCTTCGTAGGGCAATCCTTGAATAGTTGGAGTGAATCGTATGCACTGTGCACCATCTTTTCCGGTGATCGTCCTTGAAATTCTCTCAATTCTACGGTGTCAGGTTATTCACTCAAACGACATCGCATTGCTGGTTGACTGTTTGGAGGATGAGATTCTATGATTTCGTTTACTGTTCAACTCTCCTTCCCCGGTGCGTGGATGCATCGCAAAACACAACAACTAAAAACCAATTAAAAAAAAACAAAGTTTAGTAAACTAGGTTTTTAGGGGATGTTTGAGATTGTTTATAAAAACAATTTATTGGCTTATTTCAGTGTGATATCGGTAATAAATATTTTTAAGTGTTTGGATAAACAACTTATACCAGTGTCAAACCGGTAATAAAAAGTTTTTTTAAAGAAGTTAAACTCTTGTAACTTATAATAAGTTGATAAGTGTTTTTATAGAAAAGCATAAGTTGTTTCAAATAAGCAATCTCAAACACCCCCTTAGTCTCTACAGTTATTCTCACCATCAAGTCTACTCCTATTTTAAATAATTAGACTGATCACTGTAAATGTCACTTTGTTTTATTTTTAGTCTATGTTATTAAGCATGGTGGTTGCCTACAGCCTGCCCCACCCCTTTTCTTCTCTAACAATAGACCTCGCCAGTTGACCACAATGAATTCGTCGGTTTTGTCGCTTGCTTATGCACTTTTACAACCTTAAAGTTCTCCCTAGATCTGGGTTTTTAATAGTCAAACAGCATTTTCAATGCCCCTTTCTCATTGCATACATAGCATTTTTTACCTCTAATTCTTTTTGTACACATACCATTTCCAACGCTCATTCATTCCCTTTTGTACACACACCATCCCTCTCTCTCTCTCTCACTCACGGGTGTTTAAATATGTCAAGATATTAAAACCATATAATCAGTGACTTCCTTTCATATTGTGCAAACATACATCATCAAGAACCCTAGAAATACAACAAACAAAGAGAAAGAATAAACCCAAGTTTTTGTGTGTTTTATTGTGGTCTTCGTTTTCATCTTAATACAACAAAAACGATATATGCGAAGGTGATCCTACATGTGCCAAATCTTATATACACACATCCACAATAGTTCTAACACACAAACATGGATGGATATGATCGGTGAGTATGTGTGTGGAAGAAAGGTGTTGCAGGTGTTTACATGCGCGCACACACACACATGGGGAAGACAATGGTTTCGTCGCAAGAGGGTCGTTGGAGGAGCAAGGCAAAGTTGGGTCGATAAGGGTCACTAGTATCATTCTCCAACAGGGACCTAATGCACATGACGACAAATAAAAAGGATCAGGCTTAATGCGTGATGAGTTCCAACAATTTCCATCTTTAATATAAAACAATAAAACTGAAAAAATGCGATCCAAATCACAATTTCTAAAATAAAATGTATTGAATGTAAACTCAACACTTTTACAAAATCCTCATCGCTCATTAATCAAAACACTCGTTTAGATAGGAAACCAAAACCCAATACTCACTCAAAACGTAAATACATCATAATATTCAAATACTGAAAACATGGATAAAACTCTATTACCAAAAACGGATAAGGTCCAATATACCAAAACCATAAATTATGAATACACAAAAAATATGGATAATACACTACCCAAAAATAACACCTTTTGGTGATGGGGGAGACTTGTATCCATCGAATGTGGCAACCACAAAGTGATCCATTGGTACATGAGAAACAAGTGTAGCCGCAATGTGTTAGCAAATAGTCGACAGTGGACAGTGCAAGTGTACATTAGTCACTTTGATCTTCACGTTCAAGTAATAAATTGGTAAGAACTAGAATCGTATCCAGAGGGACTGGACCATCAAGTCACTAAACTTCCTCTTACGAATTTCAATTAGAGAGAAAGCAAATAAGTTGATTGGTTTGGTAAAACAACTTTGCTAAAAGACTTGTGACTTAAAGAATGCCTATATGTGAGGCGCCGTTTTAGCCTTCCCTAACCAGGAGATGTATGTATGAACTTTCCCCAGGTTTCATGTTAAGTACTTGATCCATAATAATGGTTAATGTACTCTTGGAAGTGAGCATTCTCTTTCGAGAGGTCAGGTTATAACAAGTACTCACACCTCTTAGTCAAAGTCTTGTATTTTTAACTTTATAGTTTTGTCAGTGGTGACCTCTGGTGAACCTTCTCAGGGTTCGATGGAATGTGTAGAGACAAATACTCTAAGTGTTTAAAATACGCAAACTAGCTTGCCTACTACTCCAGTGGATTGAAGTTCATCTTACTGTGCAAACCTAAATCTCGTTGGTCTTATAAGAATTCAACTAAATTCGTGTCACTGCGTTCTACCCATTTTGGGTTAAAAACTAGACTTTAGACACTTTCAAGAGATCTGCTTGTCAGCATCATTGGGCATTATTAAACAAAAGATGACCAAAACGTTAAAGGTTCCACATGCAAAACTACTCAGACATTTTGCATAAAACCTAGGTACTTTTCACTTCTACATCTCATAAGATATTTAGTTCATATTAGAAAAGATGAAGAAAACAATAAATAAAATATTGCAAGAAAACATATCGAAATATTTTAACTTGAATAAAAAGTCACAATACCCACTCTCGATCACACTGGGTTACAGCACTAAAAGAGATAAATTACTGGAAAATAAAAGTTGCTGAAAATCAAAAACAAACTTTTAACTACTGGAAAATACTTCTCTCTAACTTACAAGACTAAACTTTCTACTAAAAAAAATGAAAAGATGCAAATATATTAACTCTTAACCCCAGCTTCACAATATTTTTCACCAAAATGTAGAATATTAATGCTTTTGTCCTCTAGCCAAAATTAAGCTTAAAATGTCCGTTAACAGCTTTTCAAAATTTTTTATGCACCTTTTCAGCTACTAAAACATCTTTACGTGGTCGACTTTCAAATTTTTGGAGTGGGCACTCTTGGATTCAGTTGTGGATAATTTCTCGAGAATGCATCATAAAATCACACTGAATGGTTCAAAATTACTGTAATGAACATTTTCAGCTCAGAAGCGAATATTAAACCAAAAATGGGCGATTAAGAAACAAAATGTCCGAATTTGAGAAGAGAATATTAAAAACTAAAAATTAGAGTTATCACACATACAACAACATTATCAAGTGGTATCTCAAGATTCAATTGACCTTAGTGCCTACTCATTTGAGTAGCACCACGACACTCATGTCCTTAGTGCCTACCCCTATCGAATAGCACCTCAAGGCTCATGGTTCTTAGTGCCTACCACTCTAGATAGCACCTCAAGATTCAATCATTTTCGTGTCTACTCTTTGGAGTTTCACTTCAAGGCTCATGACCTTAGTCCCTACCTCTCGAGGTAGCACCTCAAGGCTCAAGTCCTTAGTGCCTACTCAAATGGTCAAAAACCTCAAAACAAGGGTACTAGAGTCCGACTCATTTGAGTTCACCTCTGTAATACCCACGGTCCTAGAGTCTAACCCTACACGGGTCCCTCCGCAATACTGACATGACTACCATGCTTACTTGAGCATTGGTCTTAGAGTGAGAATATCAAAACCCGTCACTCATCACACAACTGACACACATGTCTATGGATCCATTACATTACAGTCTAAAATCATATGACTTTGAATGAATGGCCAACGTACTCAAAACCTGTACTTTCCAAAAGAATATGCAATAAATGCAATACACGTCCAAAACTCAACACTGAGTAGTTTAAAGCAAACAAATGTCGCAAAACTCATTTGAGCCAAAATCAAGTCGATAACTCAGTAACTCATATAATTATTTAATAAAATTCAATATAAACCATTGAAATACAAACACCCAATGTTTATACATTTTGTACCCTCAAAAGGTTTGAATATCTTTATTATCGACTCAAAGGTTGGGTAAAATCCCAAAATACATCACGGCTTCAATGAAACATTTCCTAATAAGTGATGACACCCAACAACGTGCCCAACAACTTCATCATATGTATTTTCAAATTATTTATAAAATCAATATATCAAAAATACATTAACATCAAATAATCCCTTTATGACAAATAAATTATCAAAACCCACAAACTTTACGATTTATTAATAAACTATCCAAAATTCCGAAACATATGTATTTCTTAAGATTTTATTAAACGAAATATGCAAAAGATGCAATTTCATCAATTGGCCACAATATTTGATAAATCTTAAGGAAAATACCTTAAGACTCCAACAGTTTTCCTTGACCGTTTTCCCGGTCGTTCTCTCAGCCATTCTCTCGACAGTTTTCCTGGTCGTTTTCCCGGCAGTTCTCCAAAAATTACGGGTGTTACACCTCCTTCCCCCCCCCCCCTCTCTATATATTATATATAGAGGAGGTTTACTTTGCAAACTATGTTATTTGTACAAACCGTATAAACCTCATCCAAACAATCATAATTTTTCTTTTCTTTTTTCATTTTTTGTAATTATGAGAGGTTGATTAATCATTTTTATTGTGGAGACTATTAATCATGGATATTATCATCTTCATTATATTAATTTTAAAGAAATACCTTAAACAATTTCATTAAAATTTCACAAGTATTATATGAAATAATTTCATAACCATATATGAAACAACTTCATCTAGAAAAGTATTATATAAAACAATTTCATGAAACAAAATCATTAAATTAAATAATAAAATCGACGGATTAATATGGTTAGCACATTTTGTACAAATATGAGTGGTTTGCATGTGATAATACACCCCATGGGGGACTAGTGGTATAGGAGTGACTTGCCACACAACCTAGGTCGCGCCAAAGGTCGTCTACTTCTTTGATTTAGTATCGCGTTTATATTATATGTGATAAAATATAGTATCACATGTGATTGACTATAATAAATTGGTGTTTTCACGTTCTAGTAAAATGAAGATGTTCTCGTTTGAATATTTTCATATATATCTATATAAATGAACTTTTTTGTTCTTTTTACTGAGAATGCACCAAAGGCAATGGTGTGAATGAATAAGAAATAATTCTCATTTATTAACATAAACTAAAGGACTCTTTACCTAAATGTTTACCCGGTAAGTGCTTATCATTAGAAGCCAACACTATAATTTATTTTTTGGCT